GCGAAAAGGTTACTGGTGATGGTGCATGAAAACTGCCAGACGACACTTGGCGATCGCCTGCTTCGCTGTCGACGGTTTTATGTTTGAGTATTGAAACTGGCGTGTGCTTAGGCGTGATACATTTTTTTGGCGACATTGACACTTTCTCGGCAGCAATATGCACGTTATCAGTCGAATGATTAGCACAGCTCGTGGTTGCAGAAGCGAGTCTCTCCACGCGTTCCATGGTGGCTCGTGTTAACGCTGTTAACTCGTCCACTCTGCGTGAAACTTCCGAATCACCTATACCACCACTAAAAAGCGAGAATAATTTCTAATGCCATTTTTCTCTTCCATTATTATTCTTTTGTTAATAAAATACTATTGAATAAAATAAGAAAAAGACATGCACATACATTAATCAAATATAAACCTTCTATATAAATCTAATATTTGTCTTATACACTCTTTTCTCTTCATTTATGTATTACTGTACCTAGATTGCACAATCGAACGCTTCGTATTCATGGCGGAAGATGACGAATATGTTTTAGAAAGATTTTTTGTGATGTACTGAGTTCCAGCTTTCGAATCAATATGTTTTCTACGCAGGCTGACCATTTGACGACAGGAGTCAGCAGGATTAGATACTGTTTCGGACACCTGACTTCGTTTAACATATTGTCTTCTGGAATGTCTTTCAATACATTCAACTAAAAATTTCATTAGATTATTGAGAATATTAAAATGAGGAAAATGCACATAATGCGTGTTTCAAATATTTCAATTAAAATTCCTCTTTACAATAGCAATAAAAATGTTAATAGTATATAATTTTTACATTATAGCTGAAAAGATATATTAAAATTTCGAAAAAACCGCCAAGATATTGTAATTTAATACTTTAGAGTCTCTTGAACAATTCAACAACTTGATCTTCCTGTTGTTATTGCAATTTTATATTAATAAACTTGTCTTACATTCATTAATAAATTCTTTACCTTCATTTGAACGATCAGGTGCTGTTTCCACGTGACGTGATCTATTTAAATAAGATTTACGTTTGTACCCCTTATCTCTTTCCTTGACAGAATTCATGCTGACATCAAGGGATGTGGAATTTTTCTGTATATAGATATATATATGTATATATATTATACTTTTACATTATGCTAAAACTTTTCTTGGAATTAATAAAAAAAAAGACAAGATATTATTATATATCATAGACAAATACATATAGAAATATATAATACATAATCTAATGAAAATTTTTAAAGACCAATTTATTTTAAATAAAATAGTTAATCTCTTTAAAATCTTTTCGCTATGTGATGAACCAGTATAGTAACTTGCAGAAAGTACAGTCCCCAGGTAAAAAATTCTTTTAATTGCCAAAAAGTATTATACTATAAATAGAAATATATGTAATTGTATATCATTGGTCAGTTATTAAACAAAATTTGATAATTTCTTAAACAATTTATAATAACTTGTGAAAAAATATATTCTTTTATATAAAATTATGTACAAAATTACATAGATAAGAATATTCCTTCAAAAAAGGAAAAAGATAAAAATAAAATTTATTGACCTATCTATTATTGTTATTTGCTTTGCAATCTTGAGCTTGATTTTTATTTTAATAAAATGATAATTACAAAATATACTTTCTTATTTTATTAATTTAGCTAAAGATGATTAAATAAAGTTGTTCCTATGTCGTCGAAGTATGTAATTTGAACAACTAGTTTTTATTTTCTTTGTTGTTAATGCTTAAAAATAAACTAGTTTCTACGTTATGACTTAATTATTTGCTCATATTTGACCTTTCTTATACTTTTCACAAATACACTTACTTGCTTAGCTGATGAATTGTGCCGTTGAGAGTCAGGAATTTCTGATCCAAGTAATTTCTTAGAAGATAATGTTACATCTGTTTGTATAAAGAAACAATTTATTTATATATGCTTCTGCAAATGAATTCAGCTTATATATACCATAACAATATATTAGCGATTAAACAAATACATATATACTGGGCGTCCCATTTTTAATGACAATCTCAAATATCTCTTAAACAGTGCATTTTAGAGAAAAATGTTTTAGGCAAAAGTTTTATAGCTTCGAGGAGGATATAAGATGGTATCATTGGTTTGATCTTGAATTTTGAATTTATCAAGGTCAAGAAAGTCACCTTGAATTTTTTAAATGGAACTCTCCATTTTTCATTATATTAACTTTCTCTCAAAATTACAAAACTTTTGTCTGAAATGTTTTTCTCTAAAACGCGCTAGATATTTAAAGTTACTTAAGTCTTTAAATGGGAAACCCTATATATGTATATCAATCAAAAAAATTCATGTTTATTTCAGGTAAACTGTTACATTCAAATATAAAAGAAAATTATATTTTTATTTATATGTGGCAATAAAATGTTATGTATATATAGTAAAAGCATATGGAAAGATACATTTGAAAACATTTACTTACCATTGGGTAATACTATAGAAGCAGCCCGTAATCTAGAAGTTTTGGTCTCACGAACCGGAGCATTTTTACAAAGTGCAAAATTTTTTGAGCTCTCCTTTAGCTCTAGCTTAGATACTATTTTACCATTGTTTTCTGCTGTAAGGCTACGATGCTTCTTTTCTACTAATAGAAGTAAATTATACATTTTCTATTCCAAAACTTGAGGATATCAAGCATATGAAAATTGTTCCATTTAATATTCCAAATAATATTTATCAAAAAGACTTATGAGTTTCATAATATTATCTTATCAAACATTTGTTTTTTTTTTGTTTTTTTTTTGTTTTCAAAAATATCACTCAAATGTATAAGCAAACATACAATATTATTTTACATGTTTATCTTTATATTTAGATTTAATAACATGACATATAGCTATCTAAATTCTTAGTACTTACTAATACCCAAAGAACAAGTAGCCACATCTCCTTTAATTGATGATTCAACGTTTCTTTGACCACAACGTTGTAGCTCGCTATAACGTGAACAAGTACTTTGGTTCGAACGTGTTGTACTACTTCCCGTTTCATTTGATGAATTCTCCTCGCTAGCTGCCATCAAAACTGTAGCTCCAGCAGCTACCATTACTACAAATATTATATATTTAATTAATTAATTTGCATCAACTATATATGGCAGCTTTTTAAGATTGCCATATAGATTAAGATTTAACATAACTCATGTAATCGTATAAAAAAAAATACTAGAATTTTTAATCAATTTTGAAATAGACACAGTATATATACAATTCGAAAAGAAGCAATCATGTATTACTCCTGTTATACCAAATATAGTTTTTGTTGTTTTATAAAATAAATAGGCACCAATTAGGTATACTCACTTAATGCAAATTAATACGAATTGTCCTGCAACGCGGCCATAATTTCTCGAAAACTTCGTTCGAAAACTTCCAAGAGAAACTGTCAAGACAATCGAGAACGTAGCAAATGATACGTATTCCTTATGGCTAAGTTATCACAGCTACTTAATAAGTACTATGTATAAAATGATACAAATCACGAGGTAATCAAACTGTACAGTAAACTCGCGCGAGAGGAAAGACGGCTACATCATTTACATCGAGAATGAAAATTGATAACGATTAAATAAAAGAAAACATCGGCCGCACAAAACTGATGTCATTCTAGTGAACTGATTGTGTCAGTGGGCGCGTTCAACGGAGAAAACTGTCGAGTCGTCGGCTTGTAATATTCGTCTCTGATTCGCTGGATCTAGAAGAAAATACGAATCTCGTATATATGTATACACGTTCGTGATGTGTATACATGACTAGATACAGCCTTTCCTATCTTTTTCTATTGTGATCAGTGATGAGGTGTCATTGTACAATGTTCTGCGCCATATTGAGAATTAGATACTAGCACCTGCTAGCACCTCTGAGACATAAACTATTTATTACATGTTGCGTGTGAATCACTGATAAGTTATCGTCAGAGAGATATCTTTAAAAACGGCCGTTATATTCGACACGAGTATGCATTACTTATTTATACAGTGTTTATGTAACAAAAAAAAAAATCATTAATTCGTAATGTATTATCCAAATAATATTTGTATGTTAATAATCGCAAATTTATCAATTGTCGATAATATCGTTATTCTTCAATTATCCTATTGATTATATGTATAGATACGAAAATTTTTCCAGGGTCGGCCGTCTTTAGTAGTATCTCGTCGGTGACGTTTCCTATAGTGATACGAAAAGTTCAGTTAATGATGTAATAAATACAAATTGAAAAGAGAAATAATGCAGAATTAAATATCCCGATTCAGAAACAAAAATGTCAAGATATTACGGCATTGAGAATTAATAGAGAAATTGAACTATATTGCATAAATAGTAGAAATCTCGACTAGGCCTGTATATAATATAATCAATTTTATACGTCCACAGTAAATAATTAATTAAAATAATTTATACAAGGTTGCAGTAATTTCAATATTATTTTTTTCGAAGCCTCGGCATTTGAATATATTCGAACATGTTGATTATAAGAATATGTCGCAAATTAGTAAAATATTAAAATATTATTACGTATACATCTACATATGTGCGTTTATACATCTTGTTTCATTTACAGAACATTAAAAAAAAGGTATTCGTTTTATACGATAAAAAATTAGAGATCGAACTTTTAACTCTAATAATATTTTCAGGTAAATAAAATGATACAAAATAAGTTATTTGCATTTATTATGCATTTTTTTTATTTTTATTTTTGAAGAGATAAAAATCTTTCAAAATCAAGCAGAAAATATTTTTTTTTTTCTTTTCTGAACAATCTAGGCAAATCCAGATAGAAATAAAGAATCTTCGGATGACTCTGGACGCGCGGTCGGCGCAGCTGGTGAGTGGTGGACCTGGTGGTGACCTGATGAGTGTCGTGAGTGGTGGCAAGTAGCTGATGGTAAGCTCAGGTAGCTGACGCAGCCGGCAGCGGCCAGCGCGGCAGTTTGACTTACAAGTATTCGTAGCCATAGCGACCGCGAGGTATTGCGAGGTATGGCCGATGGCCGCTCGATTAATAGTTTGTTGCGAATGACAGCTACGCAAGAAGGTAATCAAGTACGTGGGAAAAGGCCAGCCAAACCAAAAATCTATCTCCGCTTTTCCTTCCGTAAGCATAATTCTGTTATTATTTATGATAGAACGATGAGACGAAAAAAAAAAGAAGTGATTTATCAATTTTCTAATATTGCCTCGGTGACGTATGACTTTGTGTCGTTAATCCGACTCTCCTTTGGTAAACTAATATTTTATTCGCATTGATAATCGAAGTAATTGAATATTGCCGATTCAAGAATATAAAAATTATTATATATCAGCTAATTACTTCTGGCATTTTTCACGTTCTTTTTTTCAATAAAAATACTAGAAATCTTTGAAAAACATAAAACGGTACAAAAGTAGTGAAATTATTTTATACATATGATTGAATGTTCTTGATAAATCAATAAATCCAAGCAAATGTTTGTAAATCTTTGTGTGAAATACTTAGAATTAGGAATTTGAATCGCTTTTTGTTATCAGTTTATTGTATTAATAAACAAATGTAATTTTGTCGGGATTCTATTGTTATACATTATTGCAAAGCACATCATTATAGTAAACAGAGCATTTCACTTTATATATATGTGATCTTAACTTATTCCAAAATAAAGCTGTTCAACTTTTTCTATATATTGCCCCACTTTTCTAATTTTTTTGATAACAATTAAATAAGTCTCAAATCAAAATTCTATTATAATCTGTCTAAAATCAGTAAAGAGTAGGTTTGGTTTGGTTTTAAGCAAAAGAAGTTTTATTCTCGTAAAATTTGTCAGACAATTTGATATTGTAGTCAATGAATCACGATTTATGGAGTACTCTGCAGTGCAGCATTGAAATTCAGATTAATCGAAATTACATCATAAATATTCTGTTCTCCAGTCAGAACAAAAAATTCCAAGACATCCTTAATAAAAATTTGTCTCATAATTTTTATACGAATTGAAACATTTTTCAGAAATACTCAGAAATATTCTGAAATTTCTTATTCCATAATTTTTAAAAAGTATTTAAAAATTTTTTAGATTTTATAACATTTCATCAGAAATTAACTTACAAAAAATCTTAAAAATCTTACGATATTTCATAATTAACATATATGAAAAATTCTGAGAAAAGATGTAGATTTTCTGAGAAATGTTCCAATTCGTATAAAAAATGTGAGAAAGTTATAAAATTATAGAGAAATTCTGAAAAATTATGTAAAAAATTCTGAGAAAAATTTTCATCAGGGATTCGGTGCTTTTGCGTCAGTTGATTGGCGATCAGGTCGAATAGTGCCATTTGAGAAAATCTATATTCTTGCATGTCTGGCCCACACAAAGATTGTTTGCATGCGACTGTAAGAAAATGCTAATCTCGGCACAACATATACTATACGGTTGATGTCCTAGATTGCGCCTATAAGTCTTTCGCTCCTTATGCCATAGGGCCATAGACATTATCGTAGGATATGTGCAAGAATAGTGAAATGTTTTGAGTTTTTCGTCGTACAATTTATCGGGCAGATTTGATACACGTAGAAGCACTAGTTTAACAATAACGTCATTTGCCGATTGTATTACTAAATCTTGAAATGAATAAAGGCAAGTTTCAATGATCCGTAAATATTGCAACCGCATTTAATCCTGATACCAAATCAAAAGTGACAGAAATGTTATATAGAAATCGCTTTTTCTACCATCTCAACAGTTATTGAGTACGGCAGAATATCTACTATCAAATATTCATTCTACTACATAGTCAATACTTGGGATAACTCGTGCCAAGTATTTATTTGTACCTTGCAACAAAACTAAGTTTTCTAGAGGCACTCTTATTTTGTATTATAAATTATAATTATGGACTCATATCATTTCACATAATTCAAATCTAACAAGAAATCTTCCAGTAAAAAGCATGATATAAGCATGCGAGCGCAAGTTTTTTCACTTATCTTTTCACACAAATTTATATAATTTAAATGTATATCAAAATATTCTTATTTATAATATTTAATTATGACAATCCTGGCGAAAAAGTTTCGCTGAAATTATTCCACGTTTTGAAATATTTTAGCGAAATTGCTGAAACTTCACTGAAAATGAATTTTTTAGCTAACATACTGAAAAATCACTGAAATCCAACTAAAATTTCTTTGAAATTCTTGCTGAAATTTGTCTGAAATTTTTCTAAAATTTTATCAAAAATGAATTTTTCAGCTAAAAATCGCTGAAATTAAACTGAAATTTTTTTGAAATGCTGAAATTTTGTTGAAAAGTTTCTCAAAACGTGGAATAATTTCAGCATTTTTCCACCAGGGAAAAGAGTAAGTTTGTTCATGAATAAAAGTCCTAGATTTCTTTATCGCCTTCTGAATACTTTAGATTTATTCTGACATTTCACAAGCGTGTGCGTGAAACGAAAAATATATTATTCTTCGTAAAATATGCATTTTCTCTACTATCCAATAATATCAAGTAAAACTGCACAAATTGACAATTTCGATAATTATTAGTAATATCAGGTAATCCACCCTCAAGTTGAATTTAATGATACGAGATTTTATTTTCTCGAGATTTAAACTTCTTTTTTTTTGCGTTATTTTAAAATTATTTCAAAATTGTACATATTAAATCCTATTTTATCGAGAAAATTTTTTGAATAATTTTGGCTAAATTTAAATTTTATGAGCCTAATAATTTCTAATAACATTCTAATAACATCAATGCATTGCACGATTGCAGCGAATACAAAGAAATGTGCAAGGCTACCGGTCCCAGTGACGCCATAAATACGTTCTCTTTATAACGCTCAAGTTCACTATGTATAATAAGTGACGAGTAATAATACGAGTAAAAATTGTCAAGTATCTCAATAGTGAACATGAATCGATACATAACTTTGAATCAGTTGGGTGATGGAACCTTTGGTTCTGTTGTGCTGGGAGAACGTATTGACACGGGGGAAAAGGTGGCTATAAAGAGAATGAAGAGAAAATATTACTCTTGGGAAGAAGCTATGAATCTGCGAGAAGTAAAGGTATGTTCAAATTAGATAAATAATTTAAAAATCTTATTGATTTTCTATGAAAATTATAACAAGACATGAATAGTATAAGAATTTGAAAATAAATATAATATTGTGCTATATACATAATATAATTGAATTATGCCTATGTGAGATTATATAAAAATGGTTTGATTATTTTTTGCTTCTCTCAATTAACAACTATCTTAAATCAACAATTAATTTTCATCATTTTTTTCCCATTTGCAGTCATTGAAGAAACTTAGTCACGCAAACGTCGTGAAACTTAAAGAAGTTATACGGGAGAATGATGTGCTGTATTTCGTATTTGAGTACATGAAAGAAAATCTCTATCAACTAATGAAAGACAGGTACATCTCTATAGCAATTTGTATTCTACAAATATATTATTAGAAACTACAATATATTTTAATTGAGATATTTTGAATCATAGGGATAAACTTTTTCCCGAACCAGTAATAAGAAACATGGTGTATCAAGTATTGCAAGGTCTCGCTTTTATGCACAAACACGGTTTCTTTCATCGCGACATGAAGCCAGAAAATTTATTATGCATGGGTCCCGAGTTAGTAAAGATTGCTGATTTCGGGCTAGCGAGAGAAATTCGATCGAGACCTCCATATACGGATTACGTATCAACAAGATGGTAATATACCTAATTGTATAACTAGTCGCAATTCGTAAACATTAGTTGATAATCAAGAAATTTGATGCAACAGTAACATGCAAATGATGCAATTTTTGACATGCAAATCTTTTTGATTAATCTCATTGAATTCTGTGTCAGGTATCGAGCACCGGAAGTGTTACTACACTCTACGACTTACAACAGTCCGATTGATATTTGGGCGGTCGGCTGTATAATGGCTGAATTATATACATTTAGGCCACTGTTTCCTGGTAAAAGTGAGATTGACGAAATATTTAAAATTTGTTCTGTAATTGGAACACCTGATAAAGATGATTGGCTAGAGGGATACCAATTGGCTACAGCTATGAATTTCAAATTTCCGAATTTTACGCGTACGTCGTTGGCTGTGTTAATACCTAATGCCAGTCAAGAGGCAGTCATACTCATGGAAGACATGTTACAGTGGAATCCTATAAAGAGACCAACGGCGCAACAATCGCTCAGGTACTTATAAAATCATTCATATAATATAGAATGTTTAATCGTATAACTATCGAGGAGCAGAACTAAATTTGCATGATAACATAAATAAAATAAATTCTTTTTTGTCAGTTATGTAATTGTTTTGAAAAAAACAGTTTTGAAGAACAATTTCAATAATTTTAATAATTTTTCTTATTCTGTCATGTTACCTAAAGCGTCAATATTATTTATTTTATACATTTATAATCGTACGTGGCAGTAAAATGGAAAAACAAACTGCTAATATAAAATGCTATAACAATAATGCCTGTTTTAAGAGAAACAAAAATTAATATAGATACTAAATTTGTGCAAACATTTTTGACGAAAGAAGAGTAGATATTGGTATATTTTTAAGATATCTACTAGATTTCTTACAAAATATTGTAGAAATTTTTCTAAAAGAATCCTGAACAATTAGAGGTTGTCCAGTAGTGACTATTGTCACATGGTTGATTCCAGGTATCCATATTTCCAAGTCGGTGATCCACATACCATTAATAGTAAAAAAATTGGAGTCGTATCTCAACGAGAACTTGTTATGAACAAAATAAATCTTCCACCTCCTGTGCCTAAACAATATAATTATCCCCAAGAAGACTCCGTCATTAATAATTTTATTCAATCGAGGTAGGATATATTTTACTGTGTTTATATTTAAATACATGATAATTCATATACTTTCACTATTGTAACGAATAATAGATTGAGACACTGTATAAAACAGTGTCACAGTATATATACAAGTTATATTTTGAAACGATAAAGAAGCTCGTAATAAATAATTATTATAATTAGTATAATTTCGTAAATTCACAATTAATTTCATTAAATTACGAATTAAAACCAAATATTTGCAGAACATCAGAAAAGATGCTCGTTGAATCACAACAGCAGCCAGCGGCCTTACCGTTACTGAATCATAATAATGATCATAAGCATGATAGCAACGCCTCTAAATGGGACGAGGACGATTTTGCGGATCTCCTAGGGTGTGTTATGATTTCTTTATACAGTCCATTATACATCCTCCAATTAGTTCTCTAATCTTCTAATCTAATCGTCTGATTATATCAGAAGCAAAATTGTCCCAGAGAATCCGAGCGCAACACTCATCTCAGATCGCGTATATAAAGAAAATCGTGCCAATTGGAATGCCAATTATCAGCAATCGGACAGTTTGCATGGCAATGCAAATTGGTCCCTACCAACATGGAAGGAATCACCATCGAGAATATGGAATCAGTCAAATCAATCTAATCAGATGAAGAACTTACGTAAGGTCTCAGCAAAACAACACTATCTCAGTGTGGCTCGGTACGTCGCAGGCCAGAGCACAAATTTGTCATCCAGGTATATAAAATTCCGAAATCCAATCGAAAGAATTTTTATCGTATGCGCGATATTGATAATCGGTTCCTTCTTGATACAATTACAAATCAAAAAAAATGTTTTTTCCAAGCACTTAATAAGTATGCTCAAATTTATGTCATTTGAAAAGAATCATTGTCATATAAAACGATTTTATGATGTGATTGTTTACAAATTGATTTATATTTTGACTAATACTATACAAGATTTAGCTGCTGTATTATCAAAATTCTCTCTCTTATTTTCATCAAATATTTTCTTAAATATCTCTGAACTTATTGGATCAATTTTTCGAATTTGTCTGATTTTTCTTCATGTTGCACATCTCCTTTACCTACACCTACACCGAACATTATTGACTAACTTGATTGAATATCTCGTCGAAGGTTTTATAATAATAGCAAATTTCCTAGATCAAAGTATACGATCACTCGAGCTATGTATAATATATATATTACTATATATTTTCGCAATTATTGTTCTGATTATCAAAATTTCGGCAGCATACTGGTTATATTTATTGGATGGCGGTAAATGTATACTAAATGGAACAATTTTTCAAAATTAAAATGCACAAATAAAATGACAAATGTATATTTTAAAATTGTACTAGATTATTATGTAGTCCCTTGTAAATTCAAAATTTACAATAAACTATTCATATGTTTTTATCAATGTGTATCGCAGCTTCTTTATCGTTTATCGTTCAAAGTAATACTTCTCTCTATTCATTTTCAAGAAATGAGGATTCTGATATCAGCCGATCTAAACTGCTATTAAATGGATTCATCGGTCAGGCAACATCCAACAAATATGAAGATTTTACAGAATCTTTTTGGGGGCCTAGAAATAATATTGAGAATCAAACGAGACAACATTATCTCGCGCGAAACCGTTATATCACCGAACAAAGCTTGAAATTACCTTATCCCAGCGTGTATGGTACCCAAAATATTAGTGAGTATTTATGAGGACTTATTATATATTGCTATTGCATTCTTATTTAAAAAAATGATATAATTTTTTTATATTAATTTAATATTATAAATGCCGTTGTTACTCCCTTCTATTCCAGAAGAATAATATCTTTTGAATACACATTTTTGAAACAAAAGAATGCAAATGCATTTTCTATTTTATTTGCAAATAGAAAAAATTAATAGGTTTACGATATAGTATCAGTTAATATCTCTTTTTTCAATAGAAACTACCAATAAGCCTATGTTTCAACCAAACTTGTTTGGAAATGTTTTCAACTCAAAAGCTAGTAATGGACCTCACAGTCGAACAGATTGGGCAGCAAAATACCTCAAATGACCATAATTGTAAAAAGGTTTGTTCTTTTTAATTCAATAATTTCGTCATCGTGGCCTTATTTTCTAGGCGAATTTCAACTGTGATAGAACGTGTTGTCGTTCCATTGTGGCAGACATAAATAAGAGAAAAAACGCGTTTTTTCTCTACGATAAGATTTCACGAAAGTAAAATCGCACTTTAATTATGAAAAGATAGAGTATGACATGTCAAATGGAAGAATGGAATTGTCGCGGTGTTATTAAACGCAGCATTTTTATATGATCAAGAGAAGTTCCAGCGACGGTTATATAGATTACTACAAGTCATCCATGTTAGTTGATCATGTATGAAAAAAGTTTAATTTTCTGAAAAACAAATAATTTGGAACTCGATGATGTATATAGAATATATTGATCTATGAGAGGTACATTAGATATACATATACGTATATAGATACATATGCATATATATATATATATAT